GGCCGCAACAGAGACCACCGCGTCTTCCACAGCCACAACTGGCCAAGGCCACAACTGGGCGATTCACTCAAGAAAAAGAAAGGCCTACAAATCCAGTGATAGGGGAGTCAGGAGCAAAAGTCTGCAAAGTTATTCATGGCCTTAGACCCAGGAACACCCACCAGGAGCTTACCCTGAGGAACTAAAAAGCATTTGCTGACCTCCTTTGATGTACCAAGTCTATTCACAGTGATACTGTTTGTAATTCTGAAGCAAAAATTACTCAGTATTGGTGGCAAATAGTACAGCTACACGATAAAGCGTCACAGACACCACAGTTATAGAAGACTATTTAATTACACGAAATGCAAACGCTCATTACACTATAAATGAAAGACAAAAGCAGGTTACAGTGAGAGGAGACCCACCCTCAGGCATACCTGTGGAAAAGCATTAGAGTCAAAATGCTAACAGTGGCCTCCCCGCCACTGAGTCAGGGTGAATTTAATTTCCTTTCCATTTCCTAACTGCAGCGAGCAGGCAGCTTTCCAATCAGAAACATGATCTTTCATTTCCTCCGAGCAGGAGCCTTAGCTACGAAATCAAGGAGCACCTTCTGCCTTAACCTCGCAAGTCCAAAGCGGTGAAGGGACTTCTCCTCTGCAAACTCAACACTATGTGTTATTCATGAAGTAAGTTTGACTTGAATCCACAGCGACGGCGCTGGATGCTCGGTCCCCTTGCACACGGGACTCCACACACACTGCAGCTAAGCGCACACACACGCACGCACCCCCCCACACACACACTTCAAACCCCCTTGACCACACAAACGACACAGAGCTGTGCAAGCTCAACATGTTGTTCCTACCACCAACGTCAAATGCACACTTCCTCCTATTCTTACTTTTGACAAAAAGTTTTTCATCTCTTAGACCAAGCATGCACAATTCTCACGTACAGCAGCCAGCCCATGCTAGGAGAGGAAGAAATGCAGAGGACCAGGCCTCCCGCTGCACGGCCTCTGGTCACCTCCTCCTCACCGCATCCTTCCCTTTCCTCATCCCCACAGCTGCCAGGACTCTCTGCCTTCCTAGGGCTGATGAGATGCGTGTGGGATGGCTGTTGCCTGTAAGAATCAGGCTCCTCCTGTCCTGGGAGGTGGCTGCAGGAGGCCTTCCAAAACCACTCCAGAGACATCCGATCAGGCAGTTCGGGCCCAAGGTGTTTTATACTCACCAGAGGCTTCATAAAACAGACCCCCCCCCCCAACTGGCCCATCAACCAGCATTTCTAACCTGGTCCCAGGAGTGAAGATGCTACAGACCTAGACTGCTTCAAAACCCCCTGCTCTAGCGGGCGTGCTGGCGCACACCGGCAATCCCAGCACTCGAATTAAGAGGCTGAGGCAGGAGCAGCGTAAGCGTAAGCCCAGCCTGGGCGACTGAGGGACTCTGTGAGCCTCTGTCTCAAAATAATAAAAGACTGAAAATACTGTTCAGAAAACAGGGCAAGTTCAAAGGTAGTTGAGTTCAATCTGCAGTAACGAGAACTAAAAAGTCACTGCTTCTAGTGCTCTGACCCTTCATTTTGTCTAAGCAGCCAGGGTGCTTTTGAAGGTACCATTCCAGGGCCCTCGCCCCAAAAAGGCCCCAAAACACAGCAGACCCAGCGGAGGCCCAAGAACAGGTACGACCCTGATGGTCAGACAGAACCCCAGACACACTGTCATATGCTATAAAAAGGGTCAAGAACGCTTTGTCTCCACGGGCAGTCGGAGGCCAGCAGGAGCTTCCTGTGAAAATACACCCGACGCCCCTCAGGAGGCTCCGTCCTGCCAGGGAGGGTCCTGCTAGGGGGTTCCTGCCCCTTTGCCACTAACAGAAGCCCCAGGGCTGGGCACTAGGATCTCGCTACAGTGTCAGAAGGGCCCAAGAGGGAGTCCTGCTCCCTGGGGTGTCCCTTCTGGCTGCCCCCACACATCTGTCACGTTATTCTCCCCCCAGAGCTGTTTTCTGACCAGGAGGCCAGGCAGCAAGGCTTTAGGAAAACTTCCGCAAGCTCCCTTTACAACAATGACCAAGTGGCAGGACACGCAGCCGTGCTCTCAGTGAGCCGTGCCCCCAGTGAGCCGTGCCCCCAGTGAGCCGTGCCCCCAGTGAGCCGTGCCCCCAGTGAGCCGTGCCCTCAGTGAGCTGTGCCCCCAGTGAGCCGTGCCCTCAGTGAGAGCGCCCACCTCCGCAGGACAGGAAGGAAGTGCGGCCGCAGGGTCCTGGGGGCAGCTGCGGGGAGCTGTTTCTGCTCCACCCGGTTACCTGTTTCCTTGCTGTTTACAGAAAGCACGTATCATCCTGCAGTGAAAACTAGACTTCACCATAAATCAGCAGGGACAACTACTCAGCAGGACACTGCATAGGTCCAGTGTCTGCCCTGGACACCCCTAGGGGAGAAGGACGTGAAGGCCGTTTCCACCTGGTGGCCAGCAGCAGGAGCTCCTGCACGTATCCACACACACTGCTCTGTCCGAGGCCAAGATGCACACAAGCCCTGCCCCCGAGCACTCAGGGGCAGAGGAAGGCCCCAGCGGTCAGGGTGCTCTTCCGGCTCCAAGTCCTTGGGGGATGCGTCTGGAACCTTCCCATCCTCGGGAATTCTGCACAGTAATGTCTGAGGATGAGCACGCCTCACGAGGGGCGCTCCACCTCCGAACTAACAGTCACGGGTGGGTGTCAGGTCCTTTGGCCCCGCCCAGACCGGGACCCTCAGAGTTGCTGATCACCGTGGGCCAGCTGGACTCGAGGACGATACCGTCAAGGCCCAAGAGCTGCGGGGAGAGGCTGGCTGCTCCAAGTGACTCACTGAAGGCTCAGAAACCTCACCTCTGTCTGACCTCCCTTGCTGGGGAGACACGGCTTCCCCTCAGTCACACCAGGGGAGGATGCGCACCTGGCTGGTGCGGGGCCGTGATCCTGGCCAGCGCTGCGCACGAAGCAAGCACGAAGCAAGCACTCTGCCACAGAGCGGCACTGCCCCTCCTTTTCTTACTGTTTTGTTTTTGAGATGGGGGTCTTGCTAATTTGCCTAGACTGGCCTTGAACTTGCGATCTTCCTGCCTTAGCCTCCTGAGTAGCTGGGATTACAGACACGTGCCAGCCCTCCCAGCTCTCTGCCTTTCCACCTCCTCTCTTTACATCCTACTCAGCTTTGCTCCATCCAGAATTTGGTAAACAAACCTCTATTCAGGTAACGGGAAACACTGACCCACAGCATCAGGGACAGAAGCCCCTTGGGCACCCTACTCGGCTCTATCCGGACACGCTTTCCTCTCCCCTCCTCTGTGACCCTCCAAACTTGGGAACTCAGCCACTCAGAAAAGTCCTCTTAGAGTCATCTCCTCCAAAAGTCCTTGCCCACCTCACCCCATACCACACTGGATCGGGGTCCTGTCTCCCAAACTGCTGCCACCCCCAGCTTCCTGTGGCACCTGGCACACAGCACATGTGCTTACCAGGAGAGGCCTTGTACTCAGGGACCCCAGAGGCCAGCTCAAGGGCAGTACCTCTGCCTCTATCCAGGGGTCACAGGGCAGCCCAAGTTCAAGTCCCTAACCCAAAGCAGGCCAGCCTGGAGTGTGGCTTCCCTGGCAGGAAATGAACCTGCATCAGCCCCACAGCCCACTCCTGGGGCTCCAGGCCTCTCCAGGGCTCCTCTTAAAATACCCATAACTAGAGGGCAGTGAATGTTCAAGCCTCTGACAGGCGATGCTCAAAGCCCAGGGAGCCACGGTCCCAACAGTCTGGATTAAGCAGTTTCCATCCGGAAACAACAGCAGTAGAGGGGCAGGGAGATAGCTCAGTGGCATAAACGCCTGCTTGGCAAGTGCAAGGTCCTGAGTTCAGTCACCAGTACCGCAAAAATAAATAAATAAATAAAATTTTTTAAAAAACAACAACAGGGGCCGGGGAAATGGCTCAGTAGAATAAGTGCTTCCCTGGAAAGTGAAAGGGCCTGAGTTCAATCCCCAGTTCCACCAAAAAAAAAAAAAAAACATAAAAATAAAAACAGTATTAGACTGACTAAAAAAAGGACACCCAGACAGAAACAAAAGCAAGGGCTCCAGTAGCCTGGGCCGAGCACCAGCCTGGGCCATGACATCTCTGCCCAGCAGCCTACCCAGTGTTCCCCTGGGTGGCCCCACAGCCATGCAGGCACAGGGAAGAGATGACCTGGATGGCCAAGGCCTCCTCAGGTCAGGAAAGACCTCACGATGTCTGAGGATGAGGAGTCCCCAGTCACATACGGCCTCCTCACGTACGGCCCTGAAGGCCGAGTGCTAACCCAGGGCATGGTCTGGCCAGGGGCCTGGTGAAACCTCAGCATGAATGTGGAAAGGCTTTGTTCCTGCACAGCGGCTCTCAAACTTTGCCCCCGAGGGTACTGGAGGGAGAAGAAGCACCTGGGCAGAGAGCACTCGGGCCTCCCAGCCCCAAAATAATCACAGTGACTACAGCTGGTACCTCAAGAAAAATTATATTGTGGAAAAAGTGTCACTGCTAGGAAAAGATGGATAAAGCCAGGCTCCAAGGTGCAGCTGCGGTCCACTCCCCCGTGCTGGCCACACGGAGACCATGCACCATCAAATGGGCCTGGGCTGCCCTTCCCTGCAGGCCCGCTGGTGGCTGACCCTTGGGCACACTCTCATCCAATGTGGTAACACCAGGCAGCCTCTGTTCCCGGTCCCAATGGTCCTTCTCTGGTCCCTGTTTTCCTTTTGCTTCTACAAGCTGCTGAGCCAGGGATGTGGACAGGAAGCCCCCATTGCCACATGGGGGATGCAAACCGTTAGGCGCTCTGGGTCCAAGCGCCACGTGGCACGAACCTGCCCACGGCTCTGAAAGCATCTCCTGCACAAGTGAAGCCACGCTGCAGCTCACCACATGTGAGGCCCAGGAAAGGCCTCCAGCCAATGACAGGGCCAGGGAGCCATGCCCCAGGACTCCAGAGGGGAAAGGACGCCTTACCTGATAGTAGGTCTTAATGTTCCGCACCAGGATGGTCAGGTTCTGAATGCGAAGGTTCACATCGTTGTTGACGTGCTTATTGATACGCTGGTTGGTCGGCCTGGGATCTCTGGGGAAGGAAGAGGTAAGCAGAAATTCAGTACTCTGGTCCATGAACCTCTTTGGTCCTGGTGACTCCAAGGCCCTGACAGTGTGGCTAAGTCCAACGCTAACCAAGGAGGGGTGAGCAATCACCCTTCTCCCACTCCGAGCACCTGGCCCAGTGGGGGAATGTCCCTGTCACTGCAGACCCACATGCCAGGCTTTTACTTTAAAGACTAAAAGCAAAAAAAAAAAAAAAAAAAAAAAAAAAAAAAGATTAAAAGCAATGCACGTAGAATATTAAGAAAGTATTAAGAGGGGCCTGGCCCTAGCTCAGGCCTTTAAGTG